GTTTGTTTAGACGAGTTAAATATCATTCTAATCGTCGATTCCGCAGCTGTTGGCGACGTTTCACGTTTTCTTTGCACACGAGGATTTTTTTTTTGTTAATTAATCTTTCTGGTTTTGCACTCCGCACACACGCTAAGCGCTGCAGTGCCAAGTGCAATAGGCGCATTCATTAGCGACGGCATCCCGAAAAGAAATCCCGGTGATTAATTAAGCAAAGCTACCGTGTATGATCGGATACACATTAAAAAAAACAAGGCGGCCGGTTGTGTATAGACTTACTCAGCGACTTGTGTGTGTGTGTGTGTGTGTGTCAGAGCAAAATGCCGACCCGTAAGTAGGTTACCGTGGCCCCGGGTTATTCGTGTATTGGTGGTGAGTGCGTGTATAATAAATGTTTCCAAGTATCTCGGTAGGTATAGGTATACCCACAACGATACTATATATTATATACCTATACACGGTCGTTATGTACACCGAACGTTTCGACATACGGGTGAACCTCGCTGTTAGCGGCGGGCACTAAAGGAAAATAAATAATAGAACAACAAAAATATTATTATAATCTACGAGGAGAAGAAGAAAAAACAAATCGCACAATCGTGGCGACGGCGATGAAGGCAACGTGCCAGATCCCAATCCGGCGTATAAAGCTTTTTTTTTTCATTTATATACTGACAACTGTTGCACTGTAAACGGATATAATAAGGTCCGAGATGGGCTTAAGATGGAATAATCGAAGCTTCTATTCGCAGCTTTACATCGAGCATCTTAAAGTATGCCGTTGTACACTTCTAATGCATGCAATATACTTACTCTGTCCGAACCGGTAGCGGACTAAATAATATTGAAAATAATATGTTTATTCGAAAATAAATGCATAATTTTTTCCTTGTAGTCAATAAAAAAATCAAATGCAGTTTATGGTTGAAATTTGGTACCAAAATGACATTCCAAGAAATGATTACATCATTATAATTAATCGTTCGACGTTACTACGCACAACGCCTAAATGCAAATAAGTCGTTTAAGGCCAATAAAGGATCATTTGCATTAAATCTGTTCAGTAAAGCTGCACGCCATAGGCGAGATTTTTGATGGACGGATAGATTACCAGTCTATAGGATGACTCAATCAGCCTATGGAAAAATCTGGGAATCGTCACTGATACAATGCGTTAGCATTTGACCTACAACGTTTTAACATTAAAATCAATCAAATTTCCCCCTTTCCCTCCACGGCTTGGCAAGACGTTCCGGAAACACTCCAAGTACAAGGCGCATTCCGCCGCTCCGGGTGATTGATGAATTAGCGCTTGAAAATAATCAATATTAATGACCGCGATGACGCAATTCACAACAAACCCAAAAGTCCACAACCGCGCGTACCAGTGAGTAAAACGGGTAAATAATCTTAAGAAATCAACCGACACTAAATACTTGGAAAGTTTTAACCGTTCAAAACCCAAGGAAAATTTTGGCAGGGGGAAACCTTACTCGACATCCTCCCCCCTTCTCTTTATCTACTCCCATGACGTCTACATGAAATTTACATTTTCATTCTCACCGCGGCCTCGACTCGACGATGGGCCTTAACTTGTAAACCGACAACGAAGCATAATAATGTTAGTATAACAAACTCTTCGTTGTCGTTGTCTGGCTCGACGCCGGTGCACCGGTATAGTCCGGGGCAAACTGCGCCTGCCTATCCGCTGTGATTTAAACGGTACGGGTTTTTTTTTACAAATATAAATCTCCCCCGACACTTAGACTACCGTATATACATACGTATATATATATAGTTTCTGTGTGTGTATAAGTATAACCTAATCTGTATGTGTTGTTATATAACAACGATTGCAAAACGATAGGACGCCGGACCGCCGCCGCGCCGTTTAATTACAGCAATGATTGACGACAAATTAAGTAAGTGTATTATAATGGGGCGTGTAGCTAAATCTTTATTTGGTTCGGCTGTTGCGGGTTCGGCAAAAAGTTCAAACGACGACACGCGTTAATGATTTTTAATAGAAACCGTGTACAACGAAGAATAATTATCCTGTGTCGGCCACAAGACAATTGTGATGTTGTATATATACACAATTTATTTTATATGTTTTTTTATAATAGATAACATAGAGGGATGACATAATATTGTATAAACACGTAGATCTACATACGGCTAGCATATACAATGAATATTATAGTTAATAGGCAAACTATTGGCAAACTTACTAAATACAGCCTAGCTGAAAACCTACTAAATAGGCCTTAGCAGCGGCCCAATAAATATCCAACCGCAATAAAATTCATAAAAACTACCAACTTTCACAAACTCATTTAGAAAACAAAAATAAAAGTAACCTCTCATAAACTATATTGCATCCAAAATAAAATATGTGTTATAAAAAAAACATTTCTATAATCCAAGACGAAAAGGATGATTTATCCTTCTAAAATTAATATTAATATCAGCGATCAGCACACAATGAAATTGATATGATGCAGCTATTATTAATTATCTGCTGTAGATATTGAAGGAATACACATTAATCTGTAATGGAAAAATCAAACATGTAATAGGCATACATATATTTTCTATTAAATAAAAATATATCTATATACTATTTCTACCGTTATATCTCGCGTCACAATGTAGTATAAAAATTGAACTTTGTTTAGTCGTATGAACCGAATGTTTAATCGATCAAAAACAAAACTGTCAAATAACTTTCAGTCACAGTAAAATAATAATTATTCTATTTTATAGGGCGAGTGGCTTGAATAATTTACAGTTTTAGTTGTATATTAATTTTTGTGCATCCAATATTTAATTACGGAGCAACGACCGGAGTGTGAAAGTTGTTTTTGGCTAAAAAAAAAAATACAAAACGCAAAACAAAAATCATCATTTAGGTTCATGAACTAAGCGAGGAACCTCTCTCCATAAGATCGGCTATCTCCCGAAGACTTCAACAACAACATAATGATTATCAAAAACGTGTTGTTTCGCCTATGTTGTTTACCTAAGTATAATTATACTTGGCGTACATATTTTGTATGAAAATAAAACTTTTATTAGACCACACTTGAATTATTTTCAGGTCGTTATTTGATTTTTTTGGGGTTTACTATACAAATTATGATTACAATAATTACTGCCGAAGGACAGATTTATTATAACAATGGCAATACAAAATATATATTATGGTACCTATTTAAGCGTTTAATTATAAGCAAATACGAGCGCTAATGATTATACTTAGGTAAATATAAAAAGGCTCAAACGACCTCCTCGCAAGGCGTAGGTCACAGTTTTCTGACATTCTGAGTGTAATATTAATAATTAGTAATCACCACAAGTCACAACACCGATAGTTATAAACATAATTATCATCATTATTATTTTTTTAACTATTATTAGCCTCTGTACATTTTATAGAGCTAGGTAGAAATTATTTTACCGTTGTATGACCATTTGTATATGTGTCCGTTGGTATACAGTGTGATCCATCTGATGTAAAACACTCGGATTTTTTGAAAAATACTTTGAAAATATTTTTTTCCTTATACTACAGTGACGGTGACAATGTTATCGACGGGATCAATATTATTATTTTATGAGAATTAGTTGTGCTACCGTTGTAAAAACTGAACGAATATTGATCTTGAATTCAAATCCATACAATGCCATAGTAAACGAAGAGATTGATGAAAATTACAAATTCAAACTCTAACAATTTTTAAAAATTTTTGCCTACATAAAACTAAAAACTTATGATCTCATTTAAAAAAAAACGAGATCCATACTTGTTTTACGTACAAGCGATGGAGGTAAACGTTTTCTAAGTATTGAAAAATATATAAATATTCATATTTTCTGAGAAAATGAGTGTCTTACATCAGATGGATCACCCTGTATTTTAATAAACCACATATTTTAGCTAATCCAAGCATTGGTTAGGTCATGTGTATCGAGGTTATAAAAATATTATGATCGTTTGTTTACCGTATCGTAAGGTGTTCTATTTAATTTTAACAGCCCATTTTCATTTCATCATAATATACATTAAAATAAGTCATTCCAGCTGTGGTTCCTTCACCTCTGTTCAGATATATATACATATTGTTCAGAAAATATACAGCTGGTTCTTAACCATATAATGTTATCGAGTTAAATCAAATATCCAATTGGGTGGACTTCCCATTAGCATGCGAGTTGTACTTGTTGTTGTCAAATAATTATAAGCATATTACACCTTTCTTTTTATACCAACGTCCGCCTCTGAGTATAAGGACATTAGTGGGACATTAAGTTTCACTGTTGTAGAGCAGTTGTATTGACTTACTATATTTTAGTAGGTGTGTATACCGCGTGGTATATTATGTGACCATGCTTAACCTAATATTGTATTTTTACAATAAGTAACATGCAATTTAAGGCTGTAGGTCACTTTTTGTTTTAACTTTTACACTTTTAGAGGATTTTTTATTTGTACTTCAAGATTATTTGTACGATTCGTTTGTAATAAAACGAAATCGTTAGACTCTGTGTTGTATCCACTTGATTTGTTCACTGCACAGTTGAACCATAGAATAGATAATAATATTTAGAGTAATTACCCATATATACCATCTACTTAAAAAGTTTAGGCGTTTCAACCCCCTTCAAGGTCCCGCATAATTTGGGTAGACAAAATTCTTACTCGAATGCTACATAATAGTAGGTTGATTACACAATAGAAAAACGATTATTCTTAGTGGTCGAACATTCGGTATTTGCATCGTTTTGCGGAAACCGTCTATACCTGCTCGGCCACCTGCCATTATGACCGATTCATAATAGCTATTGTGGGTAAAATTAATTGTACAACACAAATCGTTTTTCACCCTGCATTTAATTAAATAGCTGTGATTATCATATTTATCATTATTACATTATAATGTGTTAAGACGTTTTCGAAGGGCCTTTTTTCTGACGATTTTCTGTCGTTTTGATTTCAGATACAGTCGCTGCTGTCGTCGTTTCACATAATCGTCAACCGCGTTGTTCGTTCTTGCCACTGTTCGGTTAGTCTGTGCTGTTGTGCATAGAAAATGTAAATGCTTGGGCGCAGATCGACCGAGTGTAGTAGACAACCAAAGCCAATCGCGCAATATTATGGACGTAGCGTCCAGTGATTACTTGAAGACTGCGTTGTTCTCGGGTGACAACGGCCCTGACACGGGTAACCGGGAGAGCCTGCGACTAATGGAACTCGGGCTTCATCTGGAAACCCTGCACGATGGATCACACAGGATCAACACGTCCGTGGACCACTTGCTGAACGATCCCACCCTGTCGGGTAAAGTATAAAATTATATACTATCACAGTTATTATTTTTATTACTAACGGTAACGACAACCGGCCAAGAGTGAACTCCTCGCCGTCCTATTTTTATAGTTTGCTATAATTCACGCCGCACTGTAATTAACACATTCCACTCTATTTACAACTCTTTCTACTAGTCTTCCCGGCCACGTTTTCTTGTTTTTGCCACGACTCAGACTCCTTTTTAGAAAATTGGTTTTCATAAAAAAGACTTGAACACATTTTGTAGAGAACTTTTTGTACTCTTTTCTTCATTATCCTATCCTTGCGTTGTTTCCATAGTACTAAGTCGAATAGTACTGAAAGAGTGTTTCTTCTCGTTCCGGTCCAATCATTAATCTGTCTAATTTCGATTCCACAGATGCTATCAGATGTAATATCTCTAACATCAGTTCCAATCGGTTTAACCGAATTTATTTTTTAATGGAACTGTAGGCTATTTTTACAACTATGATTATTATTGTTGTAATAACGATAATACCTAATAGTTTGTTGTATTTCAATGCGCAGAGAGAAACAACAACGAATTTACTTTCGCCAACAATAACAACAACAACAACAATAATAGTAATAACAACAACAATAACGGCTTCGAGGCGATCATCGGTGGCGACCACGGTTTCGACTTGGACTGCGCGCCCACGTCGTTCCCAGACAAGTCGGACATAGCCGATCAATGGCGAACGCTCAACACGGACGGTGCCATCTACACCGTGGAGGTGGTGAACAACTCGGACGGCGGTACCGGCGAATCGCTGTGGTGCATGCCCGCGCTCACCGATCACCATCAGGGCGGCAGCGCGGTCACCAATTTCGACGAGACGCTATTGTCGATGGACGGCGGCGGCGACTCGTCCAACCCCGCCGGCAGGTACGTGATCAAACAGGAGCCCACCGAGTACGTTAAACAGGACGGCAGGTACGTGATCAAACAGGAGCCCACCGAGTACGTCAAACAGGACGGCAGGTACGTGATTAAACAGGAGCCCACCGAGTATATCAAACAGGAACCGGGCGAGTACACCGGCGACGAACTGCTCCGGAACGCGTTGCTGGGCAAAACTAATCACAATCATCACCAGAGGTAATTATTATTGTCGAAGCGTCATGTTGTTTTTTGTATTTACCTAAACGTACAATTTCTCCTACGCAGGTACGGCGATAAGGACGTCAAGCCATCGGTGTCGACGGCGTCCGACAGCCAGAACTCGTCGCCGGGACCGGTGTCCATGCAGGACGTGGCGTACCCGTCGACGTCTACCGTGGACATGCAAGACGTGTTGGCCACGACCAACAACAGTAACGGCATCAACGGCAACACGATCGTGATGATCGAGGACGACATGCCGTCGATGTCGCTGCTGGTGGCCGGCGACGGCGCCGCCGCACAGAACGTCGATGATCTCCTCTTGCCAGACTTTGACTTCCAATACATCGATGGCCTGGACAGCGACATGTCTCAGTCGTTCCAGCAGTACTGCCCCACTAGTCAAGGGTTCGTGTCCTTCATAACCGAGGTGAGTTTCGCCCGCTGATAATATCTATATGTTCTACGATCTGTTGTTTAACGCTTAAATAATTCGTCTCCGTGACCCGCAGGTGGCAAATATCTCGCAGATCCCGACCACGGTAGTGCTGGACCACCGGGAACCGGAACAGGTGTCCACTTCGTCGTCGCCGCCAGTGTGCAGGCCGGCCAAAAAGTACAACCGGCGATCGCACCAAGGCAACGGCAAGACGAAGCTGACGTCGGCCGCTGTGTCAGCGTCCGCAGCCTCCGCGTCTTCCGTTTCGGGCGACGACCAGCCGGCCAACCCGCCCGCCAAGAAAGAACGATCGCTGCACCACTGTCACATATGCAGCAAAGGCTTTAAGGACAAGTACTCGGTCAATGTTCACATACGGACGCACACTGGCGAAAAACCGTTTATGTGCCCGGTGTGCGGCAAAAGTTTCAGGCAAAAAGCGCACTTGGCTAAGCACCAACACACGCACACCACGCCGGCCAAACCACAACCATTGTCCATCACGCAGGCCACCATCAAAGGCCGACGGTCCACGTCCAGATAGCCCCCCGACCCGCCCGATCCTGTGCACGCCGCGCGTTACCATCCCGATCCTGTGCACGCCGCACGTTACCATCCCGTCCCGGTAACGTCAACAACGTCGACGCGACCTTCGTTTAACTGTTAAGTACACATAATAAATATACTCGACTGTCCCAGGTCGTTGTTTCGGGATTATCGTGTACGTTAATAATAGGTACCCGTGCCCGTTTTTGGTAAATTTATGAAAAAAACGGTAATTTATTTTACGCGAATTAACGTTTTGTTTTTTACGCTCGATCGCCGAGCAACGCGATTATGTTTTTCTCTAGGAAAAACCCCGATTTAAATATGTGATTATTAATAAGTTAACCTCATTAATGAAGTAAAAATAGTTATTGTATTATTATATTATTATTATTATTGTTAGCGGCCCGCGAATCAAAATATCGATATTTAAATAATATTAGAAGAAATATTAATAATGATAATAATAAAGAATAAAAAAATAATAATAATAGTAATTGCTATTGTTATTATCACGCGTTTATTGTATTAAATAGTTAAGTTTAATAAGTAATGTATAATATAGATTTACATTTTTTTATTACATGTAAATAGATTAATATTATATTGATAAAGTGTATTGAACGACAAAGTACGTTTACAGTGGTCGAAAAGAATTATTGCACAACTCTATGTATTATTTTCTAGTACTATTCCGTCCTGAGGCCTGTGATAGAAAACGACACTGTTTACTTAAACGCAATACGACAAAACATACATATATACGGTTTTTGTTTGTAAATTACAATTTTATTTGATAGAGGTAAGGAAATATTATACTACTTACGGATTGATTACTTAATCATTGTTATACTTTTTTTTTAATGTTTCATTCGTGTTGGGTGTTCCTATAAAGACTACCATAACACCGACTTTTTATTTTAATATTAGTAATTTAATTATAATGTATAATATATATATATATATATATATATATAAACGTATGTAAACTAATATAGGAAAAAAAAGTAAAATTACTATACCTAGAAAATTGATTTGCGTTACTTAATTTTTGTTTTAAGATATTTAGGCCTAAAGCGTAATTGAACAAAATATTTTTTAAATAAACAACCTGTATCACTCATCAATTTATGTACATTCTATAAAAAGTGTTTTTTTTATTAAATTAATTGTTAATTTATATTTTTTTATCCTGACATTAGTATTAATATTATTATTTTTACATTTGTGTTCGTATGATTGCAAAAAACAAAATACAATGTAAACAAATAGTGTATTACCTATCACTTTTTTGTTTAGTGCCATAAGCCATAACAACCGCAATTTGTATGACAAAAAAATATAATTACTCTTCGTACATGACAAAAAGAAATCCTTGACTGTTTTTTTTTCAGTTCAATTTTTAAATGTTTTTAAATGGTTAATTAAAAATTGTTTATCTCCTTGTACGCAACATAGAGAGTTAAAATATTGACAATTACATTCCTGCAATAATATTGACTGTGATTTATAAAATGTATTATCTTTATATTGTGTTTTCTCATTAAATTTTAAATGGTTATATTGTATATTATATTATTTTTCGAATATACACGATTAATGTACATTGTAATATTATATTTTAGCATATAGTTTTGTTGTAAGAATTATTTTATTTGTCTTTACATATTTTTTATTTACATGCCGTTTAGGTCATAATTTACAACGATAATTTAAAATATTATGCATACACACTTGCATAATAACGTTTATTTAGGATAATATAATGTTATTTGTATTTTATTGACCTACTCAGTATTTTTGTAAGTTTTTTATTGTTTGTAACTGTTTTGTATAAGATTAATGAACATTATTTATTCCTAATGAGATTTGTTGATTTATTTTGGTAAATGTCTTTGAACGGTATTACCTAGTTATTGTTTGTATTGTATCGCATGGAAATTAAGGAGGAACCATAACATAGGCTAAATTCTTGGTGAAATATCCTAAGCCTAAAATTCACTTGCTAAAACGTAGTTGTTTATTTATTTATAAAATATTTTTAAAAAAATATTGTCCATTCTTAAGTCTTTAATTTGTATTCATTTTCAAGGGGCAGTGCATATGCAATATTTAGGACTGCCTGAAATTTTTGTTTAATTTGTATTAGCCATTTATTACTAACAAAAATCTAAGAAGTTAAAATGCAACCGCACTGTTTTTTTTCTTTGTGTTATAACATATTATGACTGCAACATTGTTCATCGTTTTAATTAATAAAATAGTAATTAAATTCAATTTATTTTTGCAATACATTTTCTATAGTGCAACTTAATTACAACTACCGCTTATGTTGGTTGGTACATCTTAAGATATCCTTAAAAAATAATCGCAAAGCGTGTGGGCCGATGCGAAATGGTCATAGGAAAAAAACCGATACCGGTAAAAAGAGGAGAACTTTAACTAGGGTCTTTAGTCGGTTTTGTAAAAACTTAAATTTTACCATAAGTACAACATGTACAAGCACACATACAAGTAAATATAATGCCAGAATTAATACATTAATAGTGAATGTTGGATAAATAATATCAAAAAAGTCGAAGAAAGCCCTAAGATGAAGTTCTCATTATTTTAAATGTGTAAGAAATGTTTAGCTATGTCTAGATGGAAAAAAACGTGAAATCGCTATCAAGGATGCTGTGTTAAACTACCAAAAAAATATATTTTTAGAAATTGCCTATGCCGTACGCCTTACGAAATAAGAGATATGACGTACTCTATTATGAGCGCCAAATTGTATACAAATAACGACGAAAACGCCAAGTAACTTTTTAAATATCTACCGAATCGATTAAAAAAAAAATGTTTACCACCACAATAAAAAATTGGTACATCTCGGTACTTCATAAGACACATTATTCTAACGTACGGCGTTTAAACGCTGATAAAAGGTCTTCAAGATTGATTGTGACTATAATTGAGTTTTGACAAGTAGTTTAGCCGATAAAACCCTCGGAATATTGAAAAAATGTTCAACAAAAATATCGAATTGGTTTTATTATTTCAGCTCTTATTGACCTTATCTTCTTTTTTCTTTGTCTGAATATTCCGAGGGTTTTATCGTCTAAACTACTTGTCGAAACTCAATTATAGTTACAATCAATCTTGAAGAACTTTTTATAAGCTTTTAAACGCCGTTTGTTACTTGTTAGAATGGTGGGTCTTAAAAATTGACATTAATGAGATGTCCAACGACAAATCGCTCCAGTTATGGAAGCAACAAACTACCAAACTGAACACTATTAAAAGTTCCACTAACCGATGGATTAACAGCTTTCTAAAAAGGAAAGATGAAACAATACTAAACCGCATGCGAATCGGACACACGAGACTAACCCATGGTTATCTAATGGCTAAGGAAGAAACTCCTATATGTGTAGCTTGTGGTGTAAGACTGACCGTGAAACACATATTAACCGAATGCCTCAAGTACGAACAAGACAGACAAAGGATTGGAATCGACGCGACACTTGACACTTCACTAGGACCAGAACCCGAGAACAATGCCAAGATGATCGACTTCCTAAAATCAACCGACTTATATAACTTAATTTAAAAATTACACATTCTCTTTCTTGGCTCTTAACTATTAGAATACGCAAACTTAATGTATACCCATTGTAAATAACTTTTTTCCACCACATCTGTAACTAATGGCCATAGATGCCGGGTTGTAAAATAATGATCAATAAAAAAAAAAAAAATTGACAAAGTATATTTTGTAGGTTACTTAAATGGGAAATGAATAATGCATTTGCGACTGGCCAAAAAAATCCAACCTTTTTATGTTTACCAGAAACTTTTCCTCGCCTAGTTTTCATTGTAGAGGAGAAAAAAAATGTTTGCGACAGTGCTTTTATTTAATATCTAACCAAAATATCACTTATAAAGTATATTATGACATTTCTACCTATTGTTCTAGTTGAACTACATATTGTAAAGAAAACAAATATTTTATTGTATCTTGTTAGTGTTAACATAAAAATGTACTACTTCATATTAATATTAATTTATGTTATAACACAAGCTGTAATATAAATATTCTACACTTTGTTTGAGAAGTAGGATTAATGAATTAGTTATTATTAAAAAAAAACATGAAATCTAGTCGAACGCCGATAGGTATAATACTATATTAAAGTATAGTTCAATTTTTACTACCATTCATTTTCAATTGGTATGCTTATTTATCATAATCAAACATTTCAAAAAATCAAATCAATCAAGTATACTAAAGATAACGCCGCTTACCTGCCAACATGTGATGCAAGCTGTTGTGTTATGTGTATGTTTACACAGGTTCAAGGTTTTGTCGTCTTCAGAGAAAATCTATAAGTCATATGTAATAAGAAAACAAACGTATTTTCATTTATCGGTTTAGTGTGTGTAGATTCGATTGAACTAACCAAATAAATTGCAGATTTATAAACAATTGTATTTTGTAAATTATTTTTGGTCGGCCTTACTAATTATAGTAAAATGCAATCATAGGAAGTCGATCAAGAAATTATTTTTATAATAATTGTATAATTGATAATTTATTATTTTCATTATAATAATAATTGCTCAGTGGGTAGTAATAAGGCGACGCCAGATGCAACACAACGCGCTTTCGTGTTAACAAAAAAAATGTGTATTTTTTCTGTTCACCTAAAACGACCAATTGCCATTCGATCAGCTCATTCGATGTTAATGTAATGCTACTTGTTGTCCCTCCCAGTACTACAATAATTATAATAATACAAAGTAATGTGTTTAGCGGTTTCAATTAGACGACCGTTTCACTTAATCCGTAGAGTACTCATGTTCCATTTTTTACATTACTATCTGTTGTGTACTTAAATCGACATGGTCAAGAGCTTGTTAGTCTGTGTAATCTCGGATCATCACGTTATTGTTTCAATGTATACTTTTATCTACAATAAGCTTTAACCACACTCGTGGTTATACATAGTAAAGCAATAAAATAATGAAATATTTCAACAAACAAATAGCTAATACAATAGAGCGTAAACGCTTTTATTATGCTAGTGTATTTTTTTTTTCGATTTAGAGCGTTTTTAAAAATATTTTATTTCTTTTCTATATGATATCCTTACAATATCTATAATGTGTTTATCGATGAATCAGTGAGCCGTTTCACTTTCAACCTCGCCCATACGTTATCTTGGAGCCTTCCGTTTTATTTATATTATTTGTCCGCATCATCGGCTGTGTATCGCGTGAAGAAAATAAAAAATCAACAAGAATAGCGTGCGGCATTAACGACACGTTTAATGTGACGTTGAGACGTAGACATCCCACGGGGAACGACCGGAGAATTTTTATTAACTTCAATTGGACCAAATTGGTTTCAATTAAAATACATGCCATGGCGACCCCGCAATATGCCGGCGATGCGATACTGCGCTGCGGGTTTTGTCTGATCCCAGTTTGTCGTTTGACGACAGAAGCGGATGTACAAAAAAAAATATATATTTAAAAAAAAATAAATAACAAAAAAGACTATAAGGAGAAAATAATAATCGATTCAACGTCGTGACTCGCACAAGTGTTTACTTGTCTTCGGCACACGTGGCCGTTGGCCGTCTTTTAACACGGTAGTGAAAATCACATTAGGAGAATTTACAAAAATTGCAGTTGAAAAGAAAAGGGTGGTTCCAATGATACAGATGTAAAAGGGACCTACGTCTCGATTGCTACATTTGAAAGAACGCATAAAACTATGTTTTCCAAGAGCAGTTTTTCTAAAACAACGGAAGACGTAGGTCGATATTTTTTAATAAAAATCTGCATAGGTTTTAAGCCTATTCGCCTATTTACTATTGTACATGAGACACTTAATGTCTTAATAGATCTTAAAATAATAGCAATTTTGTAGTTTTT